CCTACTCCATCCCACCCCACCACATTCCATCCCACCCCACTCTACCCTATCCCATCCCACCCCATCCACGCTGAGCCTGCTCCAATTTGCCAGCAGAACAAGCAAACCCCTTTCCTCCCTCCCCCCTTGTCTGAGGTGCACACACATCCCCTTGGCTTTCCTCCTTCTCCACAGGCTTTCCCAGAGCCCCTTCCTCCCGTTGTTTGTTCGTTCCCTGCACTCCATCCCACCTTTTGCCTTCCTCCCTGGTTGGATGCAGATCTCGCTGGTCCTGCGTTTCACTCGTGGCAGGGGTATTAGATGGATTCCCCATAGAGTACAAATTGAATGGAGAGAAGTGGCTGCTTTCCCAGCAATAATTTATCTGATTAAAAAAGTCCTCCCTAAACTCCCCCTTCCCCCCCCGTCCTATCCCCCCTCCGAAAAGCACATTGGCACCGGGGCTGGGCTTTGAACTGTGTTATCCAAATTGCTGGGAGGGGGATTTAGATGGGAAAATAACTGTCATAGGATGGTTCCCGGGGGGATTTTCCCCAGAGCGTCAGCACTGAAATTTGGAACACGGGTTGTTGTGTGGAGGAGGAAGAGAGTAAATAATCCTGAGTCAAGTGCTTCTGGTGTCTCTGCCTTTGCCCTCACCCAACAAACACCTTGCACAGAGGCACACACAGTGCTCACACGCATTTTCCCATCACACAGGTTCCACGGAGGAGCTAAGCAGGAACTCCAAAGCACACCAGGCTGCTCTGCTGCTCCCTGTCTCCTCTCTTTGCCTTACCTCAGGCTGATTCCAAATGAAAGAAGGAATATGCTCCATAAAATGCCTGTCTCTTTGTTTGTCACCTGCACAGGGTTCATTACTTCCAAACCAGCCCTATCCGAGGCTGGTCGTTTTCTGCTTCCACTGGAGCCAACGTTCCTGTTGTAACTGGGGGATGGAAAAGTCACCCCGACCCCTCTCCACCCCCTCTGTGTGTGGGGCTTGGCTGCTGCCTGTGTCTCTGCGGGCGGGAGGCAGGTACTTACACCCCATAGTGCTCCCAGTGTGCCCTGATTTACAACAGGAGCTCCTTCCTGATGCCAAGGGCAGGATTGCTGCTGACATCCAAACCACTCCAGAGCCCTGGCGTGGTCCCAGCTCCGAGGGCTGTTGGCTGATGGACGTTCCTCTGCTCACAGCTGGGGCAATCGTGAATGGGCCCGTTCTGGGCTTTGCAGCCTCGGAGCATCCTTAAGCCAGTGGCCAGGGCTCAGGTTTCCCTGCTTTTTGACAGGAGTGCTGCTCAGATGAGATCTCTCTCTGCTCCTGGAGGATTTACACTGCCACAAGTCCTCATTTTTTCCAGATGTTTTACCTAATAAATCAAGGAGTCTCATCAGAGGTTTCGGATCCAAAAGCTGTTACCATGACTTCAAAGGCAAAGGCTGGAGTGGAAAGAAGCAGAGCAGACATTTTATACCACTCTGTACTCACTGATCATGAAAATACACTCTGCTTCCAGGATTTTTTTCCTGTGGATACCAAAACTCCACAGTGATTAAATAAAATAGTGCTGTGCTCCTTCAGCAACCTTTGTTTCAAAGGACGGAGCTGCAGGACCCAGGGGCTGTGCGCGGCTGGCAGGAGCCAGGACAGGGCTGGTCCTGAGGGGGGAGCTGAGCTGTGCCAGCCCCTGTCCGAAATCAGGGGTCAGTAACTCAGGTCTCAACTCACTCCATCTTTTCAAGTCAGCACTCGGCTGAGTATTTTCTCTCAGTTCAAGCTGGTCTAAGAGATTCTCACATAAAGGATTCAGATGTTCATCTTCAGATGTTTGGGAGAGAAAAAGACAATAGGAGTTATGTGGCTGCAAAATGTGATTGTGATTATTCAGATTGGCTTGTTCCTTGATCAAGAATGTAACTTTTTTTTTTTTTTTTTTAATGTAGTGAACCCTTTCTTTTCACAGTGTCTACATGGTGTCATTTTCTCTCAGTGCTCCATTTCTAAAGATAACTGCTCTGTGTTTGGAGAAGCTGTTCTGTGTTTCCAACCCCTCGACAGCACGGGCTGCTGAACAAGAACATAGTGACGGAAAGCAGCTGAAGAAAGGAAAGCTGTTCCTGTGGTAGGTGAGCAGCAGAGCCACTGGACTGGCTTTTGGTTCCCTGCTTTCCCAGAATGCTGGCCTGGCTCCGGCTGTGCTGGTGCTGCCCATCAGAGATGCCCAAGCTGGGCTGTGTTCTGGCAGCAGTGCCAAGGGGAGCTGCTGCTTCTCACCCTCTGCCTTGTCTTCTCTTGGATGCCACTGGATTTGGAATCACAGAATAGTTTGGGTTACAAGGGACACCTTCCACTGTCCCAGATTGCTCCAAGCCCTGTCCAACCTGGCCTTGGACACTTCCAGGAGTGGGGCAGCCATAGCTTTGTCTCATCTCCCCCCTGAGTGCTGTCTGAGCAGGACTGAGGGGATGGTGGCAGGCAGGAACAGGCTGCTGAGGGCAGGAGGGAGAAGGTGGCCTGGTTGTGGGGAGCCCCTTTGGCACTGGTGCCCAGGTTGAGTGTTGAGTTTCAACAGAGGATTTGGGCTGTCTCTGCAGCAGAGCCATGGAGAGGGGGCTGGGGGTACCTGCAGCAGGGGATGCAAGCAGAGACTTTGGCTTGTGCTGTCTGAAGGTTTTGGGATGTGAATAAGTTGTCACTTAGGGGAATTGGGGACTGTAGCTCTTGGAGAGCTGTGAAAACACTGTGCAGCCCCCAGGAAGTACTGCAGTTCTGTAAAGACTTGGGATGAGATGGGAATTCACTCCAGCTACACTGTGGTTCATACTTTATGTGTCCCAGGCAGTGGAGCCGGAGGCCATTTGGTCCTGCAGTGCATTTAACCAGATGTTAAAACATCACCATGGTTGCCCAAGGGGTGGATGCTCCAGAGGAGGGGATGTCCTGCTGCAGCCCCATGGAAGGGAGAGCCAGGTACAGATCCTGTGTTGTAATGGACTGAAAAACAACTTCCTCTAAATACTGACATTCAAATAACAGTCACCACGATACTGTTTGTTCCTGCCACAGGCTTCAGAAAAATTGCTGCTTGTCTTCCCTCCCCCACAGCGCTGAATCCCAGCACCCCAGACTGTCGTGACTGCCGGGGATTGGTGACATCTCGAGTGACACGTGTTGGAGCATCAGAACAGAGTGGGAGCAGCACAGCTTGGCTCTGGGAGCCCAAAATAGGTACTATCGTTGCTGAGCTGAAGCCTCTCTTCTCCTTCCCCACCCAGCCCTGCCTCTCTGGCACATGCAGCTCATAATCGTGGTGTTCCCATCGGACCAAAGGAAAACCACATTCCTAAAGCAAGCAGGGCGTTGAGTAGTGGCCATGCTTTGGAGGCACAGAATGTTATGACACGGGTCCTAAATTAGTGAGCATCAATGATGATGATGGTTTGCAGATTTCCTGCAGGGAATGGGGGTAGAAAGGAGCACGGCTCCTCTGCTGCATTGCCATTTGGAAAATCATCAGAGACACACCATGAAACAGGGAGTGTGAACTCCTTTCACTGGACAGCTGCTCAAATCCTTTTAAGTGAATGACTGAGTGATGAATGTAGCACATTGGGTTGTTCTTTGGATCTTTCCTCTCCTTTATTCTGTAGCTCTGTGAAATCTCAGTCGTGCTTTCTCCTGGGTTTATCAGTCTGCTCACTAGAGTATTTGTCTTCTTCTGCTGAGCCCCAAAAGCACCATTCCATTAAAAAACCCTGATTATTTGGGAAGGGTGAAGTTTGATTCACAAAGGTAAGGCTCTTTGAAGGTGTCTGCTCCTTTGGTAGTGAGTGATTCAAATGAGTTCCCTTTCAGCATTCCTGTCTCGCTGCTCCCAAGGCCACACAAAGGAGGAGGGATTTGCGGGGCCGTATAAATCAGGATTTGTTACAGGGATGTCAAACACAACTGCACCACGGGGTGTTAATGGTGAGCAGGTGAGGAGTCAGAGCAAGTCAGAACCAAGGAACAAAAGCCACAAAGCTCCTGTGTCTGGCTCTTGATGCTTCCCAAAAGTGCAGTGTCTGCACACTCCTGCTCTGTGCTGGGAAAGCTCGGGGTGTTGCACTGATCCGTATCACAAAGTGCTCCAGTAACTGGATGAGTAGGTTTGGTGGGAACGTCTTTGGTTCTCAATTTCTCCCATCAGGAAAGATCTAAATGAAGGTCCAGCCCAGGTCTCTTCCCAACACCCAGCTCACTCTGCTGGATTCGTGCTTGGCTGAGCCAGTGGTGACCAGGCAATTGGACACAGGTTGGATTAAACTTCCACTGGAGTAGAGGAAGAAAATTTCCAATCTTTGTGCAGGCAAATAGGAGTTTCCTCCTTTTCCAGCAGCAATTAAATCCCAGTGCTGACTGCACTGAGTTCCTGAGGGCTGCAATAAGTGATTGGGGGTTTTGGTGTGCAGCCTTTGGACAAGGGGCAGTGCTCGTGCTCTCCCCCTTCCTCAGGCTCCATGAACATTTCAAGTTTCCAGAGGTTCCCACTTGCTCTGTCCAAGCCATGCTCATCTTTCAGCCTCCAGGCTGCAGGATGGACCATGAGTCCTGAGGGCAGGTTTGTGGGCACAGAGTGGGGGGGGATGCCTGGAAGGGACAGTCTTCTCTCCCAGAATGATCTCACAATCTTTGCAGCTTCCCAAATACCTGCCAGTCCAGGAGAGAAGCTGAGCTCAAACCAAAATGAAGCTGTTAGAGCTTTAAAATGGTCCATGAGAGTCCCTTTTAGCAGGAGGAATTCCGGGCAGTGGAAGGTTTCAGGGGTTGGATGTAGCTCATAAGCCAGGATCTTGGATGACCACGGGTCCCTTGGCCAGGCTGCACACACGTGCCTGGGCATGTCCCTCGAGCACATACCACTGTGGTTTCTGGACTAGTTTTTGTTATTTCTCAATATTCCCACTAATATTTAATGTATTTGTCTTGGTTGCTGGTAATTTCAGCAGTGAAAGTGCTGACTCTGATGTCCTTCTGGGACGTGACATTGGCTTGGGGCAACCCAACAGTTTTTGTGTGGGCCTGGAAAAATGTTCTGCCCACTGGTCTCCGATCCCAAGAACATTCCTGGTTTCTCTGGTAATATCCTTAAGCACACCACTGATAGATTTTTGTGTAGATGAATGACCCGACAACTCCAAATATTATTTGTTCTCCAGGGTTTCTGGGTCAGTAGAAGGATGGGTGAGGGAAGACAGAGGTGCAGCTGGATAATGCCAGATCCCAGCCAGTGGGGTTCATGTCTCCCTTCCAAATCAGGCCAAGCACAGCCCTGCTCCTCCTCCTCGGCAAAGGGACTGTGTTAGGAAGTGGGAGTTGGGAGAATGGCTGGATCTCATGCTTGTTCTCTGGAAGGTTTTAATGACCTTTAGCTTCCATAAAGGAAAGCACCTCCTGGAGCCAAGAGAGCTCCTCGCTCAAGGAGCTGAGCGGGGCCAAGCTCAGCTGCAGCCCTGGAGCCTGAGAGTCACCTTTCTAAAGCACATTATGTGTCTCTGAATCCCAGGGTTAGATGGGATATCGGGGAGAAATCCTTCCCTGTGAGGGTGGGGAGGCCCTGGCACAGGTTGCCCAGAGAAGCTGTGGCTGCCCTAGCCCTGCAAGTGTCCAAGGCCAGGTTGGATGGGGCTTGGAGCAACCTGGGATAGGGGAAGGTGTCCGGGGCATGGAACAGGATGAGCTTTAGGGTCTCTCCAACCCAAACCAGTGTGGGATTCTGTGATTTTCTGCCCTCAGGCTGCCCCTGTTATCTTTAACCTTTTAGTTACAAAAGAGAAGCTTTTTTTTTGCCTTACTCTCCACCCTGGGTCCTGAAGAGGGATCACTTGTTTAAAAGTGACACTGAAACACCACAGAAGTATTGCTGTTCTCCACTGGAAGAAACAGGGAGACTTAAGGCTGGATCCAAGCAGACATCTGAAGTAAAATTTACACAAAATTTAGTCCCCTTAGTCCAAAGCCATGATCCTGAAAAACCTGCTCTCACCTTTCCTTGCTGCAGGAGCCGCCTCTGTAAGGCACACTCTCAATTCTGAGCATTTAACTTCTTCCTCTGCCTTCTCAAAGGCACTCAAGGGGATGTCCTCTCAGACAGACCTTTCCTGCTGGCAAGACTGGTGCTTCTCCCTAAAACAGCTGGATCAAAGTGACCTTGGTCTGGTGGAGGAGGGCAGTACCTTCTTCCACTGCCCACATGTGCTGGTGGACGCCCTGTGAGTGCAGTGCAGTCCTCAAAGCAAAGTCATGTCTTTGGACCTTTTCTAGAAGAGGCCAAATGGCCCCTCCTGGTACGTTACCCAGGAAGCATCTCCCATGTTCAAGGCCAGCCTTGAAACTCCTCCTAAAGCTCCTGTGAGGGTCCTTGCCCTGCACCTCCTGAGAACGAAGAGGATTTGCACGACTCTTCGGCGTCTCCTGCCCAGGGATTTGGGTGTTAACTCTGAGCAGCATCATTGCCTCACTGGAGTTTGGGGCACCAGAGGGTTCCAACCTGCACTGCAAACAGGGCAGCCCCACTGGCATGAACAGAGTCCATCTGGAGTGTAAACAGTTTGGTTTATTAGGGAATTCACTTCCTAGCAGTCACAGGAGTTAGGATAGAGAGGTGTCACTTCAGGCTCCTCTGGAAGGGGACAGGGGAGAGCAAAACTACACCCAGCTAAGACTGTACGCAGAGACTAAACTACCTCTAATTGCAACCAGGGGAAACACTCGAGCAGGCAGCCTACAAGTGCTTTACAAAAAGTCTAAAGCAAAAGCTTTTTGTACAAGATTAATCTTTCTGCCTCACTGGGGTCAGCAGTGGGAGTGCAAGGAGAGAATTCAGCACAGTCAGCACCGGTCTGTAAAGATCTATGTCCAGCTTTGCATTTCATCCTGTTTATCTGGGGCTATTAATTAGCTCCTTTCAGTTTTCCTGGGAAGATCTGTGTGTTAGGGCTGCTGAACACTACTAAAGATCCGTCATTGATTGCTTGGGCAGCTAAATCGGGTCGACAGTTCACTACTCAGAGGTGTCTTAACTTTGCATCCTTTTCTGCTGGGGCAGGAATTCCAGGGGTGACTTCAATCTTCTTGTAACGTGCTTGCACTCCTTGCTTTCCTAATTTCATGCCTAGGTATGGCATTTCCATTACAAAGGACTTGTGATGGTTGAGCTCTGCAGGTCTGGGCCTTTCAATGACTGATCAGAGCTTCTGGTCATGTGCTTCTGCTCTTTTCCCTCAGAACAAAACATCAGCTACACAGATCCTGGGCCATCAAAGGCCCTGGAACAGTTCAAGTGCCAAGCACAGCCCCAACAGCAGCCTGAGGAATGATGTTTCCCATGGGGGCTGTGGGATATGCACAAACGTATGGTCTGTTTTCCAGCGTGCCTGTCAGAGCCCCGCTGGTGCCTCCAGCAGAGAGAAATATTTGGCATAGGCCATTTCCCCCCAAACTTTGCTGCTTGCAGGAAATAGAAAGTGTTCTTTTCCAACATATTTATTTTTGTTTGATTGTAATTACAAAGGGTTGTGCTTTTCCCCTTTCTCTGGTGACCCAGGAGTGTCCACTGCTGTCAGTTCTGCATTTCCTCTTATCTTTCACAGAGCTGGGAGCCTTTCACCCCTTCCTCTGGTGTCAGCTGTACTCCATATAAAAATTCCATGTAGGAGATGAGCTTTGACGTGGGTGTGCTCCATTCAGGTTTACTCAGCACCATGGGCAGCCTTCCCTATTTTTCATTTTTAAATCCACATTCTCTTGCTCACGTGCCTGGGGAAGGTGTTCTGATGTGAGCAAGACTTTCCAACACAACTGTATGTGCTGCTGACTTCCCAGACCATCTCTTTTGCTGCCTGTGTGTCCCCATACATCTAACAAGGGATCCCTTTGCTCAGAGGGAAGGTCCCCGCTGTAGGAGCTGACAATTCCAGAAGTCTGCAGGAAGCTTTAGGGGGAGTGTTCATTAAGTTCCTAGCAGTGCGTAAGTTGGTGCTCAACTTTAATTAATTAATATCCATTTATCTTTCAGGCTGTGGTTTGTACCCTCCTGCTGCAGTGTCACCCTACCCAGCCCATGAAATCCAGACAGGGAATGTCCACACTGGAGCTGTGTTGGCATTCCCATGTTCTTGATCACAGAACCATGGAATCTCAGAACCCTTTGGGTTGGAAGGGACCTTAAAGCTCATCCAGTTCCACCCCTGCCACGGGCAGGGACACCTTCCTCTATCCCAGGTTGCTCCAAGTCCCATCCAACCCGGCCTTGGACACTTCCAGGGATGGGGCAGCCACAGCTTCTCTGGGCAGCCTGTGCCAGGGCCTCTCTACCCTCACAGGGAAGAATTTCTTTCCAATATCCCATCTAACCCTGCCCTCCTTCAGTTTGGTGTCAATTTTAGGTGAAGTGCAAGATTTCTTGGCTTTGTCACTTCTAACAGGGTTGGTGTCACTCACCTGCCTCGACAGAAAATTAGTAAAACCTTTCATGTGTCACAACTGCCTGTAGCCAGGAACAGGAACAACTTCATCTTTCTGGTGTGGAAATTGCTCACAGTAAGGGATCTGTCCTGCTCCATGTCCAGGTTCCCACTGCTCCCTGTGCACAGTGGGTGCTTCTTCTGGAGGGTTCTGGAGGCTCCACACCCCGTGGGCTGCTGCATTTGCCAGAAATTGGATGCAATTAAAAGGGAAAAAAAAAAAAAAGTGAATAAGGGAACAGTGGTGTTTTTGAGGTATGTCTTTCAGTGGTAGTTTTTCACAGCTTTCTTTCTAAGCTAAGTATAGTCCATGAGTGAAAACACACATTGACAGCAGTAGTAGCAGTAAACATGAAAGAAACGTCAGTGATACTATTCCTTGCCTTCCCCTATGGTGCCTTATCCAAAGGCAGTGCTTCCCAGAAAGCCCTGGCAGCCTGGGGAGTGGTGGGCACTGCAGTGACACCCCAGGGGAGCAGCTGAGTGCTACTGATTGCTGGTGAGTGGGTGGGAGGTCAGCAGGAAAACACCAGACTCCCCTCTGAAAGGACAAACCCAGCAGATCCTGGAGCAGGAATCAGCCTGAGAGAGGGGTTAGAGGCAGATTGCAGTGATTTGGGACTGGGAAAACAGGAGATTTGTGAGAAAGCTTTTCTCCCTCTGTCAAATCTGTCTTATTTGTTATCTGCCTCAGAGGGCTCGTGGCCGAAAAATGCCATTGCTGTGCTTCATGGAATCTAAATGTTCTGATGACACAGACATAAACCTCAGTGTCTGCTCAGCCCCCACTGCAGGTGTTTGAACGCGGAATTCTCCTTTTGAGACACTGTTTTCTCTTGAACACCAACACTTCTGTGCTTTCAGAAATGAAGGGCACTTCTGATAACTCCCGATAGCCTGAGCCTCTTTCTCTGCCAATCCCCCACTTTTAGCAATATAAAGTTGTTCTGAGCACCTAAATTCCCTCTAGTTTTTGGCAGTGCTCTTTTTTAGCTGGATTCCTTTGGGGATGTGAAGGCACTTTCCTTGTGCAAGAAATGGCCATTGCCTGTATAGCCTGAGAGCGTTTTCCTCCGGGGATTTCCCTGCCAGCACGTACCTTCCACTGTGGGAGGAGCAAATGCCATTTCAACCCTTGGTCCTTCTAAGAGCACCCCTCAAAAACGTGTGTTAGTGGAGGGGGGAGCAGCCTGAGCAACATTCGCAGTGTGGTGGTCTCTGGTCACGGGGAGGTGGATCAGCACTTTTGGGGGCAGTGATGTTCCAACCCCAGCAATCCCTGTCGGTGTGAGCTCACAGCCTTTCCTTCCCTGCCCTCCCCTCGGCTCCATTTGGAATCTCTGAGTGCCTTTGTGTCTCTCTTGGACACAGAGTCACATTCTGAGCTCTTTGAAGCACATTTCATATTTCTTAGAATCAATAAACTTCACAGGCAGTCGCAGAAATCCCAAGCAGTCAATAAGTCCCGTCAGGCTCCCTCAGGAGTGAAAGCAGAGTGTTGTAAGGACATTTCTTAGGGAGCTGCTGTTCAGGCATATTTGTTGTTTCAATTAGTCTGATTTAGGGGCTCAGTCAGGGGCTGCAGCCTGTAGCACTCACACTGTAATTTGATTTCTAAAGCTGCCTTTCAGGTACTAAGGGAGTGAAACTCTGTGGTAAAACCCCAGTGGAGATCCTGGCGTGCCTGCCAGGCAGATCCAGGGAGATCCCAGGGTTCACCATCACCCACATTTCACACCCCACATCCCATCGGAGCCCTCCTGGCTTTGATCACCCGTCCCCTGGGAGGAGCACGGAAAGGTGGGAGAATTACGGTGTTTCTCCAGAACCGTTTCCCTGAAGGGATGTTTAAACAAACAACAAAAAAAAAGAAAGTCAAATGAATGTGTGTGAGAAGTGCCAGATTGGCAGCTTGAGCGAGTCAAACGTCACCTGTGTGAAGGCTGCCCATGTTTTATGTGCTGGAGCTGTCAGTGCAACACCGTTCCTCGGCACAACACGTGTTCCTTGCTTTTCAAACTGTCCCTGTGTCCCCACACTGCCCAGTCCTGCAGCTGAGAAAGAGTCAGACTGCACTGATGGGGGTAAGGAGTCGGACTGCTGAGCACTGGGAAGGAATGTTGGCTGATTTGCCCTGGCTTTGGAGATGCTTAAAAAATGCAAGAGGTTAGAAAAGATTTAAAACCAAAATGTATGGAGAACGAGTCAAGGTGTAGCTCTGCTTCCCAACTAGAAACTGCTGGGAACAAAGCTCGTGTCTCTCCTGTTGTTGCTCCCTGGGAAGAGGCCTCCATGCTCTCTCTGACAGCTGCATCACCAAGGTCTTGTCTGGACTTTCTCAGCACTCCCCGCTGCTGCAGCAACCCTTCCTGGCAGGAAGGGGCTTTGGGAGGCACAGACAAGTGTGTGGGGACAGACAAGTCCCTCGGGACTCCAGGGTCCTTCAGGGGCACCTCATGAGCTGGGGAGTGGAAGCCCCATCTAAACAAGGCCTTGTTCCAAAAAGTTTGATTTTACAACTGCTTGAGTTTGTCCCTTTCTCAGATGACATGGTAAAAAATGAAGTATGATATTTCTTCCATGAAAAATACACTATATTTATAGGAAATTCCTTCACAGCATTTGAAGGGGTGATGAGGTTTGGAGGAGAATTCCAGTTGGAGGAAGCAGAGCCAAAACTCTGACTTTAAAGGGCTGTCTGAGAGTGCACGAACAAGATCATTCCAGGGACTCTGTCCCTATCCCAAGCTATTGTCCAATGTCTTTATTCTTTCCTGCTTCTGCAGCTCCTCCTCCCTGTCTTCACTACATCATAGTAATGATTGGGTTTGAACTGTTCAGTTAGTGGACTAAGGTAATTTTGTTTGCATTTGCTGTTCTGTCACAAGGTTCTAATATTGTTCTGTGCCTCCAGTTCCTGCCACTCAAAGCAGAGGGACACTTCAGCCACCCTTTTCAAACAGGGGCTCCTGCAATCATTATATCTGTATATTCAGTTTTAAACCCCCACAGTCATGCTCTCAGATACAGGCCAAGAGCAAAGGACGCTTGTGGGAGTTGTAGGTGTTGACACAGCAGTCAAATCTCTTTGGTCTCAAGCTTTATGCTTGGACCTGCTCACCTAACTCTGGCTGATCCATTTGTGTCTCCCGCAGGTAACGTGGCTTTCTCTTTGCATTTCCAGGAGTCCCCAAATGCAGCTGAGCAGGCCCCTGACAGTTGGTGGGTGCCAGAGCTGGAGAGGGATGACAGTGTTCCGTAGCCCCTGGGAAGTGTGCCTTGGGCTCCTGTCAGTGGGTGCAGGCTGTTTGGGCTGTGTGTGGGAATGGGGAGCAGCTGCCACGTGCCAAGAACGAGGGGAGTGAAGGATTGCCACTGTATGATCCAACACTGAATTTTGATCCATCAGCTCATCTGATCCATCTGATCCATCAGTTGGGCCTTTCAGGTAAGACACAGAAAAGGGCTGTGCTGCTCTTGGTCCTGAGGTTTGTCTGCAAGGTGTGCTGGGCTCTGCATTTTCCAGGCATCCTCTGCTGCTGGTCTAAGGTTGTTTCTTTGGTTTCCCAAACCCAGAGGCAAATGAGTGTTTCTTTGTGCTAAGCATCAATTCTCTTCCTTTTTTTTTTCTTATCCTTTCTCCTCTCCATGGTTTTCCTCTCCATTTTGAATTCTCTCAGAGCTGCATTCTCACTTCCCTGAGACTTCTTTCCTGGCACAGGCACCGGGAGAAAATGTGATGGTGTTCACAGAGCACTGAGACTTAGGAGAGTGAAGTGTGGACCAGCTGCTCTACCTCTGGTGACTCACACCACCTTTCTGTGGTTCTGCTTTCCTTCTGACTCCCTGTCAGGATAACCTGGCCTAAAACCTTTCTGGGGAAAGGCCTTGCTTTCCCTGTGCAATCCTACGGTGTCCAATACAACGGGACCCAACCTCAGGTAAGACCTTTAGGCACTCCCATTATATGAATGAGAACAAGATTGTTGGTGTCAGTAATTAACATTCTTGTGGGGTTGTTGTAAATGCTTTGGGATAAACACCACCTGGAATCCTCGCCTGGCTTATGTGGTTTCTAAGCTGCAGAGGAGGCTGATCCTGTTCGCAGCAGAGGCCATGGACCATCTGTCTCCACTTGCTGGATGTACAAAGTCTTTCAGTCCAAAGATGAGTAGCAGTAGCTCAGGGAGACGTTGGGATACCGGAAAAGTGAGGGCACAGCCGGTGGGGAAGAAGATTGGAGACTCAGCGGTCAGTGTGTCCCCAGTAACGATCTCACCTGAGAACAACACGAATGACAACCACCAAACCAGAAAAATACCACCCCCAGTGTCACTGAAAACGCCCTGAACGCCTGTGGCACAGTGTCATCCCAGGACAGGCTTCCAGAGAGGAATCTCACCCTGTTTATGTCAAGGGCAAAAATCCTGTTGACTGCAATGACATCAGGATTTCCCCTGGAGGGTTACCTGGGTTCCTCTCCTTCTGGAGAGAAGAGCCATATCCCACATCATTATGCACATCCTAATAACAAATAGATAATTCTTTTCCTTTAAATTGTGGATTGGATTCCAGTAAACCCTGCATTTTGGATTCTAGGTTCCCTCTATCTAGCTCTGCAATCCCTAAATAAACAAACATTGGATTAGACCTCAGCAGCTCCCTCCCTCAGCAACCAGAGGCTTTAAAAGCGTTTCACACCAACTGCCCTGCTCATGTTTCAGACTCCGTTACTCACGGATTCAGGGAGCTCCATCTTCCTCTCAGACTTCCCAGGGAGCTCACCTCGGTGATTGGAAGGTCTGCCTCCACTTGTGACCCTCCCTGACTCCAGCGAGGAGCTGGAATTGCTGTTGACATCAGGAATGACAGAAGTACGTGCTGGGGTTGGAGGGTTTCTGGCACATGGCCTGCTAACCCAGAATTTGCTCGGCAAAGTCCGGAGGGTGACTTTTAACCTCAGAGCAGTTTGCAAAACCACATCTGTGTCCAATAAATGTGAAAAATAAATGAAAAAAAATAAATCTAGCCCCTACTGAATGATGAAAGCCAGCACACCTCACTGGGCACTGGTGCTGGAGTCAGTGTGGAGATCTATACAGGATTAATTGGACAGGTCATCGTTGCCAGGAGTTGTCCGTGGATGGAGCTGATGCCTCGCACACGGGAGGCAGCACAGCAGGTTAAACTGAAGGGATCTCATAGCTCTAAGTCTTAAACTTAATGAGCCACATCTTTATTTGTGCTGCAGCCCCTTCTTCGCCCCAAATTGCCTTAACCAGCTGCTAGAGGATGCCCAGTAATGGAAAATTGTCTGGATAACAATAAATTGGTGTAACGACTCAGTGTCACCTCACATCCTGCTAAGCAATAGAGAAATCACGGTGAGAAAAATAGGCACAGCCAGAGTGGCACTGAACAGTGGAATCCTAATTCCATCACCCTTCTTGTGGGCCACAGATAACCCAGTGCAATTTACAGCCGCTCTGAAGCGGCTCCAAGTCTCAGCAGGAGTCGGGAAGGCTCAGTGTAGCCTCGGGACTGAGGAGTCATGGAAGATCAGGGGAGTTGTTGTTCCATAACCTTGCCTCTGCACCAAAACCGGTGGGCTGGTCTGGAATGGGAAGCACTCCAAGCAAAACACGTTTTAATCACTGAAATGAAGGTCCTCCTCTGGATCGCTCTCTGGAGAACTGTCTGTCTCTGATGATCACGCACAGACTGCCAAAGAAGGTGAATTCTGGATTTAAATCTGTGCATCACCAGTGTGTGAATGACACCGGCAAATCTGGGCTGTAAGGCTGAGATATCTCCAAGAAGAGAGAAACACTTTTTCCACTTAAATGACTGAGGTAGAAGTAGTAAATATTTTGTCTCCTACTACTGAAGGGTGAGGAAATCATTTATACACATCTATTACACCTTTGCAGCCTAACAGTGGTGGTTTTTTCAGTTCAAGAGTCCAAAAGTTTAGAATTACCAACATGAAGGTGGCCTGTGCGACTGTAATTTGTCCCTTTGTGATTTGCATTATGATCCCGTATTTAATTGTGATTAGATCACACGCTGTTCTTTCAACAGGTTCCTGGCCTCGCTCGTTGTACAGAATAGACTGTGCTCAAAAAGCAATAACTTTATTTTCTCCTCGCTGTTCACTGCGTGGCCTGTGCTTTATTTACAGCACGCTATTCAAATATTGTTCTGAAGACAGATTTATTCATTTCCTCCCGAGCGTTTTCATGGGACTCATCACTATGGTATCCAAGTGCTTCACAAACTCTAATTCATTTTCCCAACACTGGAGTGAGAACTGGTGTTGCCCTTATTTTACAGACGAGGAACTCGGGCATACAGACAGAATAATAAAAAAAATCTTTTCATTTTAGAGATTTAATTAGAAATACTCAATGGCCTGATTTTGTCAGAAAATAGAACATGGTGAAGCATCCAATTCAGTCAGAAGTTGAATACATCCTCAGCTGCTGCAGATTTATCTGCAAGTGCTCTTCACTTCTGCAGATCACGCTTTAAAATGTCAGCCCAGGCACCTGCACACCAACCAACACCACACCAACTGCACAATTCGGGCAGTGCTGGGCAGGCTCTGTTTAAGGACTGTGCTTTGCATCCCAGAGGATTCCCAAGGCTGAGGCCCTTTCCTGGAGCAGCAGTCACCCCACAGTTCTTCACAGGGTGCATAACATACCTACATCTGATTTTTGCAGTAAATTAAGTGGAAGTTGTTGAGGCACTTGCGTAGGTTCCCTGACCTTGGTTCAGTGTCTGAGCCAGGCTCATCTTTCTACGCTGGCTGCCTTTATCCCAGTGTTCGATGACTGACAGTGTGTCCTTTTGCAGCCTGTCTACTGTTGTTTTAATAAATATGCATTTCTTTTCAATCTAGAGACACCCTTAGATAGCCCAGCAATGTAATCCTGTGCTGCCATGGATGCAGGCCATCAGCAATGTGAAAACATTCCCTGTACGAGGGATGTAGTGGTTGGCACACGCTCCAGCACTCAAAGGGGATGAGGTACGTTCTCAGTGTGTGTCAGATACCTGCTGCCAGCAGTTTTCCAATTGGTCTTCATTCCCATTCCTAAATTCTCACCTTTCTGCTCTGCCTCCCTCCCTCAGTCTCTGTCATTCCCATTCCTACATCACTGCCCCTAGTGAATTCCCTCTTCCCATTGTCCCTGCTGCATCCCACACCCAAACTAACTTAGGGTTCTCCTCCCTCATCCCACTGCAGCTTTTCCATCCAATCCCTGTGCCCAGCAAGTTCTCCCTCAGACACTGTACGGACAGCTCTGGGTGCCCCTAAAGCTGCATGTTCTTCCTCCTGGAAATTTTCTCCTATTCCCACTCTGTTTTTAATTCTCCCAACAGCCTCACTTCCAGACTCTTCCTTATGAGCTTTGCTTTATCCCTCCCTCCAGGCAGACCTGTTTTTGCTTCCAGCTTGTTGTTCCTTTCCACTACCCTGGAGAACCTGTCTCTCTCCAGACCCTCTGTGCCTGCCAACGTACCTGTCCCAGATCCAGTTCCCGTCCCTACTGTGTGTTACTCAAGGAGCTTCTTGCTCCATGTTTCCCAAGAGGACTGGAAGGACAGGTTCCCTGCTCGCCTTTCCTACCTGCAGCCTTGGCATGGTCCAGAGCAGCAGGGAACTGGAAGTGCAGGTCCAGCTCCGACTCCCACAGCCCTGGGCTGTGATGAGGATGGAATTGCAGGGGAATGGAAGTACTGGGAAGCCTCCACAGAGCACCAGTGGGATTTTCAGGAGGGTTTTCATGATGGGGTTGGAGGGAACACCTCTGACAATGTGACTGTTCTCATCTACAAATTTGACAACCCCTGACAGAAAGAACAAAAGGGGAAATGTTTATAATTTAACCTGAGGCACGAACATCAGATGCTTAAATTTCAGCACAGCGGTTATTCCGGCCCTATTAAATGCGACTGAGGGTAGGATTTTATGATGGGAATTGCTAACCAGCTTAATAGCAGTTACACTACCAGTCCTGCCTTTTAATCACTGCTTCCATTTTCAGGATAAATTACAGCTGGTTGCTGGTAATCCTTGTGGCATATCAGATAGCAGCGTAACTCGGCAAGGGTAAGCTGGAGAAACCCAAACATCCTTCTGAGGAGGTAATTACTCCATTGTGAAAATGCTCCGGGATATTTTTAGTGGCCAAACCCCCTGTTTCCTGACAGAAACATAAAATAATGAAGGAAGTTTCACAAGGAGAAACGCTTCAAACACCTGTACTAGCCGAAGCTTTGCAGTCACAGCAGCTTTTAATTCGCTGTGCACATCCCCGGGTCCCCATGCACGGCCAAACCCACACCTGGGTTTGGGGCACTGGGGGCTGCGCCAGCGCTGCCTTGCAGAAAACCCTCTCCACAAGCAAATCTGCAAATCCCGCTGGATCAGGGATAATTTCACGGGAATGTAGAGCTGCCTGCAACAAGAGGACACCCTCACGGCACGCACCAAGATTATCAAGGGAAACTTTCCTCGGCAGGAGTCATGCACCCATTGTAAAAGCCTGGATTTTTTGGGAACAAATGATGTAAAACTAGTTTTAAAACATTTTGCAACACGTTTTTGTGGGGATGTGCCCTCGTTTCATGTCCCACAGTGCCCCAGGGGTCTGGTTATCTCCCGGTTACCTCGAGCACTGGTCCTACATAATTTATGTCCTGAAAGAGACGATTCAATTAGTCAATAATAAAATGAGCAAGGACAGCGTGTGCGTTGTAAAAATATAATTTAGTGGGCAACAAGCTGAGATGGAAAAATATAAGGGTACACTCCATATGATTAATGAAGGAAGAATGTATATTTATAGCTCTTATTGTGTCCTTTGTAAGCAGAAGGATCCGGCAGTAGGACTGGAACTGGCTGGTAACGATGCGGCATTCCAGTGATTGGGATTTGAATGGCAAATGCTGTATAAAACTAATTACCCTCAGGAGGATGAAAATACATTTCATTTGCCTTTTCGGAGCATGTTTGGCCTTTTCTTCACGTTTACTTAGCCTCGAAAAGCACATTTACTAGGAGGGGCGACATCCCAGACGGAGAAGTGGAGTTACCCCCCAAGAAAACAAGTTTCCACAAGTTATTTGTACACATTTAGCGCGATTTTGGGTTTCTCAGTCGTAGTGGATCGCGCTTCCCAGCAGCACACGGCGCAGGGAGTTCTCGCTTCCCACATCCTCCGGCTCGGCACGCAGCGAGGATACCCGGATTGGTGCCGAACCGTTCGCTTTCCCTTGTTTTCACGCGTGAAGCGCACGCAGGTCCAACAGCCTCGGGGAGGAGAAAACACAGATTTATTGCGCCAAACCCCGGGAACTTTCATGCCCCGAGCGCCCGACGCGGAGAAGGTGCGGGGGGCGCGGGTGCCCCTGAGGGGAGGGCGGCGGCCCCGCCCCCGCGCGCACGCAGGCGCCGTGGCGCGCGCTGGGGAGGGGGGGGGCGGGCGCGCGCACACCTGGCGCGGGGGTCGGGGGCGGGAGGGGAGGCGCGCGCGCGCATGCGCGCGGCGGGGGGCGGGCGGGAGGCGGCGCGCGCCCCGCGGGGTCCGTGTGAGGGAGGGAGGGAGGGAGGGAGCGGCGGAGCCCGGCCCGCGATGGAGTGAGGGAGGGAGGGAGGGAGAGAGGGAGGGGGAGAGAGAGCGCGGCCGCTCCGCCCGCCCGCCCGCCCGCCGCTCTCCCGCCGCTGCCGCCTCCGCGGGGCTCAGCCCGCCCGGCAGCGAAGGAAGGCAGGAGGAGCCCCCCGGGGGAGGGGCTGGCGCTGGGTGCAGCCCGGCTGCCGGGCGCGGGCAGCGGAGCGATGGCGGCGCGGAGAGCCCGGCGGCTCCTCGGCTCCCTCTGCATCGCCCTTGTCCTGGCGCAGCCCGCGCCCGCCGCGCGGAGCGGCTCCCGGAGTCCCCTCACGGGTAAGCGCGGGGGACACCCCGGCGGCGGCGGGCGCGGGCGGTCCGGGGGCGGGGGCGGCCCCGGCGGGGCGAGCGGTGCCTGAGCCCGCTCCGCTCCGCCCGGCCGGGCGGGCACCACCAGGGGCCACTGCGAGCCTCGGGCAGCGCCGGCGGAGCCTCCCCGCGAGCAAGGGGCACCCGGAGCGCCGGCTGCGGGCACCGAGCGCGTCCCCCACCTGTGCGCCTGTTCCCGGCTCGCCCGAGGGCAAGCGGGCACGGACGGGCTCCGTTCCGGCTCGGGAGCGGTGCTGGAGCGGTACGGGCTCGGTACCGGCAACCTGTGGGCAGAGGGGAACTTGCCTGGGAACTGCCGCAGTCGCCCAGAAATGAGCGGTCTGGCAGCGTTTCAGCCGCGGTCGTTCTCACACCTTTTACCATTGTTACCTTTAATGATCCGTGATTGAATCCCGGTTCTTTATAGGCTACGGAAAACGCAGTCTGGCCCAGGTGAGGCAGGAGAAGGCTTTCTCTAAAGCCCTTGTGTGAGACTATTAATACTGTAGAAGCCTCCCTAGCTTTGCAGCGATGTTATCTGCTTCTTTTGCCAAATACTGGCTTTAAAAAGTAACTTCTTTTTTCCTCGTTGCCAGCAATAAGCTCGTAGGAAGCTTGAAAGAAAATCTGGGTTTGAACGCTGGGATTAAAAAAAAAAAAATCCCGTGTAGATTTGATTGAATCATGGTATTTTAAGAGAAAGCTCTGTGCAAATGGAATTTGGAAAAAACTGCTGGTCAAATGAGTGATTTTTAGCAACTTGGGAAAGTAAGAATGGTTAAACTCTGATATTAAATGGTGTAATTGTTCTGTTTCAAATCACGTTAGGCACTAATGTCTGTGGTAGTTCTCATTTTGGACACCACTGATGGAACCATGTATGCTGACTCCTGTTGACAGGGAATATATTTATTTATTCTTTTACACACTCTAAGCTTTGCAGATTCCAGGCCTGAAGCAGATTTTTTTTTCCTTTTTTAAATATTGTAGTAGGATTCAAAGACCTACAAAGTAGACAAGATACTTTTTGATGTTTAATATCTTGCCCTGTGATGATTCTTTTCTGGTATTCCTGCTCTCCTAACAGCTCACTGGTTTTATGGTTGTGTTGGTTGTTCTTTGCTAGTTTAAAATAATTCTTTGTGGTTTCAGGAAATCAAATTGGTAGGTGAAGTTCTGTCTGTTGGAGCCAAATATGTGAATTAAGTCTGCATAGGGGGAGTGATGTGCTGAAACAATAGGGAATAAAACCTGCACTGGAGCAGGAACTTAGAAACGGCATTGTGGAAATATGGGAATCTCTGTTTCTCTCCTGTGGATGGTGCTTTATGTTGTGTCCATGGGTGCTGTCCCGTGGGATCCCTGGTAAGGACCAGGAGCTGGGCTTTCCCTCCCTGAGGGTGGTTGTACCTGGTCTTTCGAGGGAGGGAGAGGCTCTCTTGGTTCTCAGTGGAGATACTCGTGTGGTGGACAAACTTCATCTTAATTCACACTACTTCCCACCTGATTGCTGCTGTTTTTTCATAAATAAGGGATGTTCCAAATACTTCTATACTGTCACAGGGTATGGAGACTTGCAAGTCCCTCCCTTCTCGTAGGAGAGAGAGTTGGGCAGAGATGTTCCATGGCATGAAATGCTCCCCTTGGCGTTTCAGATGTGAGGGTGACAGTGGCATGTCTTCTGTCCCTTGCTTTGGGTGAAGCTTCATCTCTTTAGGATGTTGGGAAGAGCCTCCTGAGGGTGGTGCCAAGGGCTGGAGAGGCAGAGGAACACCAGGTTTGCAGGTCCAGGTGGAGTTCCAGCTGTGAGACTCCCAGCTCTGCTTGTCAGGAGTGAAGTGCTGCTTGCTGTGTCCAGAACAGGGGGGTTTAATGCAAAACCCCACCACGTTGGCCTTTTGGTGTGGATAAAAATGCCCCAAATGAGCAGAAGTTGCAGATTTGGAAGCCCATATTCTTTGTAAGGAGCTGTGTGTGTTGGAGGGACATTTGATCCCATCTATAAATAGCTGGTCATTGCTCTCTGAAGAAGAAAAGAGTGCAGCTGAATTATTTTAGGAAAAAAAAAAGCTGTATAACTTCATTTATTTGTGTATCTGCAAACATTAGTGTGTTTTCCACTCTGGTCGGTTGATTTGCAGATATGGTGAGATGAGATACTGATTTTAGAGTCAGGACAATGTTTCACTTAACTAAGGTAGTAAGACCAAAAATACCAGGAAGAAGCATCAAATTAAGCTAAATCTTGCCTGTTTTGTTAAATCTAACTGCTGAATCTTAACTGTTTGTTACTGAGTCGAGATTTATGTATAAACTTGGGTCTATATGGGATTGCATTATTGGGAATAAAAATGAAGTTGGTGTCAATTTTTAACAGGAAAACTGTGATAGCCTGTATACACCATTAAGATTGCAAATGAGATTATTCAAAAGCAGGAAATTTGTTCTGTCTCTCCCTGGTGTTCTCAAAGTCCTTGGAATCGATATGTATTTTGTTGTGAGAGGATAAACTGCCGGTTTGGGAGGTTCCAGTGGAACAGAATTAGCAGTTGGTGGGCCTGGAGCTGCACAAGGTGCCCAGGACCAAAGGGGTCTGTGAGTGGCGTGGTGGGAACCACTCCCAGATGCTGCTGCCAGGGATGCTCGTCCTGGGGGGCTGGGGATGGAGCACAGATCATTTGGGGTCCCTGGAAACAGCAGGTTGTCATTTGTTTCTGTTTGGTGTGTGCTGCTTGATTATTTCTAATTATATCGCTGGTTAAAAATAGAGCAGAAATATTCAGGTCTCGGTTACATCCCAAGCACCGTCTCTCCGCTTGATATTCCCGTTCCATATGGACAGGTTACATGGCTTTTGCACTGCACATTCATTAGTCATCCAAGAGAATTACCTGAGTGGCTTGTGAAGCTTTCCTAATAAACTAACACTTCAGTTTAAAAGCTGTCAGGTGTGTGTACACACCTGTTCCTAATGTTTATCACAGGGAAAAGCAGCAAACAAAAAGCGTCATTTAAAAAAAAAAAAATTCCTTGGCTCAGTTACCTCGTGCAAACTTATCAGTTTGAGTAAGGAACTTACATATGGTAGATATTTCCATGTATAAACAAGAGTATTTGGTTGTTCCTGGTGATAAAATGCCCTTGTGATTCACATGGTATTAACCCTCAAGCAAAGATTTGCAGAGAGGTCTGAAGACTCTGCAGGCACCTAACTGGAGTTTGCTGCCTGGCCGAGAGGAGGAGGGTGATAAGAGGAAACAGAGTGGGAGTTTAGGAAAACTCCACAAAGAGCAATACAAAATGTTTCCTAACCTTTGCTTTTGAGCTATAAAAACATTTAACTTGGGCAACATCAGCCTGAGTGTGATGAGGGGGGTTGAAAGGGAGTTTTTGTGCCATCACCAGTTTCCTGGGGACAACTTGGTGTATAAAATGTTGCTGATGTGTTTGTAGCCAACTTTCCTAAACAGGCAGTGGTTTTATTGATGCAGGATGTCTAAAGTGTCACTTGGCATTGCCTGCGAGGAGATACAGCTGGAGTTGTTGCTAATCACTAATTAATGCTGGTTTCCTAGCAGGAATCTGTGCTAGTGTTGGGGTGTCAGCCAGTGGAGAGAAAACAGTCCCAGGCGCTCAGGGGGTGCTGTTTTGGATTGTCCTGATGAAATACACCTCTGTGCCTCCAGTATGTAAATATAATGCCTGAGGCTGTTGAGTTTAAAAAAGGCAAAATTGTTCTTAATAGAGAAAATTCCTCAGCAGCGTGGAAACAACAGTCATATTTTACTGATTGAATGCTATTGATTTCAGCCTCCGGTGAAATTGCCAGGATGAAAGCGGTAATCCTGATTAATTCCATATAAATAGATAAGCACGATTTGTATGTGTATAGTTACAGGGTTCTCTAGGAAAACTGAAACCCAGCTTTATACGGTCCATTAGGTGCTTTAATTTCCAGAGTTTTTTACCATTTTCATTCATGCTAAGGAGTACCTTAATTTTACAAAATTAACCAGATTATCAAGTAGTGATAAATCCTTTTTGCATCAGTTAGAACAGTTTTGTTTTTTCTTACTAAATCTGCCCTTCCTGAAGGCAGTGAAGGAATTGGCAGTGTTCTGCTGTTGAACTTCCTTGGGACTGTGGGTAGTTCCCTGGAGTACCTAACAACCATGAGGTGTTTGAGTTGTAGAAAGTGAGGAGATGTAAAGTTTAATTTTAATGAAAATCATTTCATGTCCTGTTAACAATATTCTTAAGTAGCAAATTTCTATAAAGGAAAAGGAGTTTTCTTTTTTTTACACCGTGACTAAACCATCATTCCACTTGTTGCTTCTGGATGTTTTGGGATTGGACATACTGGTAGGAAAAAAAGACAACCAAGTCCCTAAAGGTTCTTTTCACAAGGGACTGCCTGCCTTGGGAACTCACTGGGTGCCAAATGCATAAACTGAGGTCATTTTTTGTGGTGTTCACTGATTTTTATTTGCAGCCTCTGAACTTTCCCCGTTCAGCTTTGGTTTGCTGCTGTGGCGTGAGCAGGACTGAGCGTGGTGGTTCTGGGAAGGAAGGGACGGGGCATCTTTGGTGTGACAGTGCTTCATTCTCCTGTTCCTCTTACATTCGCAGTAATTCAGGAGGAAACTTTGTCTTGAGTGAGGCTGTTCTAGAACCAGTGAACTGTACATCAGAGAGCTTCTCCCCCTGCAAACGTGATGTTGTGCCCACGTTAGCAGGGACTTTGTTGTGCTGGGAAGCTGTTGGTGCAGCTGCCTTGCTGCTGGGTACCACTGAAGGCATTCAGATCTTCTCCTTACCCTGAATCTCTCCACTTTCAATTTTTTAATCTATTGATCTTCTTTTTCTTAGTGCACTGCAGAGGTGCTGGCTCACGTGCCTGGGTTTTGATAGCATGGATTTTGCTGAGTCAGTTTTTTTTTTTTTGGTCTCATCAAAACGTAGCAACT